GTAAATATAATTAATCAAACTAAGCAAACTAACTAACGTTTTAGATCATTGAAATGAAGCTGAAACCAAATAAAATATAAATGATGACTTAAAAATAAAAAAAAAATTAATTTAAATAAGGATGCACGATTTTATCGGACCTATATCAAAATCGGCCGATAACGGCTTAAAATGCAAATATCGGCATCGGCCCGATATTATATGCCGATATGTCTTGCCGATAAGAGGATTAACTCACACGCGCTCAGGGTGTGCTAGTGATTAGATCAAGTCAGCAGTGTGGCTCATTCTTGAAGCAAAGTTTTGTCTGAATGATGATTAGATTCATTGCTTTGGATCGCTGCATTTAAACTCAGAAAACATGTACAGAATGATGCATTCTGTGTATGATAGAGTAAACAGTAATAGCACGTGCAGCGGCAGCAGTGGCAGCCTCCCCCGGGTCCTAATACCCGTTCCGCAAAGAGTTTTAATTCTGTAGGGGGCGCTGTTGGCCTACTTCTAATTAAATTAAAATACCCTACACAAATAACATTTAGACTGTGTTTCTGATTAAATAAAGCAGTAATTGATGTCATAAAAAAATTAGTATGTTTTGATTTAAAGGTCAGAACCTATAGCTTGCATGAAAATAAATCACAAACATGACACAATAATTTTATATATACTGATTTATTCATTAATGTGTAATATGTTTTATTTTTTTAAACAAATCATAAGCTCTAAAAGACTTTCAGAATTTTTACAACTCTTTTGCTTTAGACCAGTGCTTCTCAAAGTCCGGACTCCGGTTCGGATCCGGACCCGGAGGGAATTCAATCCGGACCCGCCTCCATTTCGTATTTCAAGAGCACTAATTTCCTACTTTGATAAACTGTTAAAATTGTAAATCATTTGCACGTGCACCGGCAGCAGTGGCAGCCTCCCCCGGGTCCTAATCCCCGTTCAGCAAAGAGTTTTAATTCTGTAGGGGGCGCTGTTGGCCTACTTCTAATTAAATTAAAATACCCTACACAAATAACATTTAGACTGTGTTTCTGATTAAATAAAGCAGTAATTGATGTCATAAAAAAATTAGTATGTTTTGATTTAAAGGTCAGAACCTATAGCTTGCATGAAAATAAATCACAAACATGACACAATAATTTTATATATACTGATTTATTCATTAATGTGTAATATGTTTTATTTTTTTAAACAAATCATAAGCTCTAAAAGACTTTCAGAATTTTTACAACTCTTTTGCTTTAGACCAGTGCTTCTCAAAGTCCGGACTCCGGCTCGGATCCGGACCCGGAGGGAATTCAATCCGGACCCGCCTCCATTTCGTATTTCAAGAGCACTAATTTCCTACTTTGATAAACTGTTAAAATTGTAAATCATTTGTTTCGGGGGTTTTTTTATGCCTTTTTGGAGATGGTCCGAAATGAAAGCGAAGGCGAGATATTTAAAGTTTACCTGCATGACACTGTTGTCATGACATCCAGTGAGCTACATAGCCTAATCGGGCGACACTTCACCGCTAATGAGTTTTTAAATTTTTATTATTACTTAGATTATGCCGGCCATTTGATTTATAGCAGTGTCCAAGTGTTTCCCATACATTGAGTTATTTGTGGCGGCCCGTCACTATATCAAAACTATCAAAAAGCTTCGATGTCATTTTCATTTCGTCTTTCCTGTAATGCCTGATAAAGTAGCATTTGTGAGCAGCGCTTATTTTATTACAGGCGTTACCGGGCAAACAGCTATAGCTCCAGCTCCAACAGCGCCTCCTGCTGGCTGATAATTAATCTGCATTTGCAAGTCTGTGGGAAACACTGGTGTTTTTCAACAAACATAAACAAAAAGCATGCTTCAGAACTGTTTTGAGAAGGTGCTTAAGTTTTGAGCCATGTATTATTACTATGAATTAGGCTACAACTACTACTAGCTATTACTATCTTGTACTCTGCATTAAACATTTACTCAAACTCCCTTTTATGAGATAAAGGGGGGGATGAAATTGTTTTTTTTTTTTTAATTAGTGTTTATTTGTTATGCATGTTATGTAAGTTTATTAAAAAACAAGTTTTGTAATAACCAATTGTTTCGGTCCAGACCTCTGACACTGATGAAAATTCAGATTTGGACCTTTGAATGTACACTTTGAGAACCCCTGCTTTAGACCATCTACAAATGTTAAATGTTAAATCTTGAAATAAAATGTTATGGTTAATACTGCATCTTTCTGGGGGGGGGGAAATGCAGCGATTGATATATAGTTTATTTATAGTTATTTTCAAAGCTTCAATGTACTGTCAAAAAACCTTCATTATTGTTTATTTAATTCTAACAAATAAGTTCTTGTTAAAAACTAACCAAAATTAAAACATATTTTTATTATAATTTCTGCACAGGAGAGACTTGGTGTTGTTTCCAAACAAAAGGAAATATATCGGTATCGGCCAAACGAGTTGAAAAATATCGGCATATCGGATATCGGCAAAAATCTAATATCGTGCATCATATATTCCAGCATAACAGTTTGTCATCAACATTAATTATTCACATGAATAGTGAACTTTTTAACTAAAAAATTAATTTGATAAAAAGTAAAAAGTGTTTGCGTGTCAGGCATGTAGACTGACAGATCACACGGATCTGCTAGAGCTGCTCGGCTTCATATAGCTGACAGATTTTTAAGGATCAAGAGGTGAATAAAACTTTCACAACTTTAGCCTTCTTTCCTCATTCAGAGTCATTCAAATGTATGAAATTCATGAACTCAATTTCAAACAGTCTGTACTATAAGGAAGTGCCAGTGGCAATTTGCTGTGGCATGATAACAATATATAAAAGTCAGCACATCCCTCGTTCACTAACATGCAAGCCAGGACAAGGAGGACCGAGAATCCAAATGCAAGCACAGGGGTTTATTAACCACAAAAACCAAATAATCCAATCCACAAACCAGGTTACAATCCACATAGAGGAGTCAGGAACATAATCCACACAGAGAAGGCGAGAGTGTAAACCAGAAACACAAGTACAGGAACCTACAACTGACAAGCCACAACTGAAGCGCAGACCTTATATACACAGACTTAACGTTAATGACACACAGGTGCAAGTAATCACACAACAATAGGTCCAGGCAAAGGTTTAGGGGAAATGTAGTCTGTGATGGAATGGCAAAGGAGTAGTAAGGAGTGCCCTCTGTTGGAGCTCATGGGCACTCTAGCTGGTGATCGTGACTCCT